GCTGTCGCGTCTCTCCGTCCATGTTGCCGCGTCTCTTCGTCCATGCTGTCCCGTCTCTCCATCCATGCTGTCGCGTCTCGCCATCCCCACTGTCTCGTCTCTCTGTCCCTGCTGTCGCTTATCTCCATCCATGCTATCGTGTCTCTGGGTGCATGCTGTCGCGTCTCTTCGTCCATGCTGTCACATCTCTCTGTCCCTTCTGTCGCGTCTCTCCATCCCTGCTGCCACGTCTCTCCGTCCATGCAGTCGCGTTTCTCCTTCCCTGCTGTCGCGTCTCTCTATCCCTGCTGTCGCGTCTCTCGGTCCATGCTGCCGCGTCCCTCCGTCCATGCTGTTCCGTCTCTCTTTCCATGCCTTCGCGTCTCTCTATCCATGCTGTCGCGTATCTCCATCCATGCTCTCTCGTCTCTCTGTCCCTGCTGTAGCGCCCTTCTGTCCATGCTGTCTCGTCTCTCCGTCCATGCTGTCGCGCCTCTCCTTCCATGCTATCGTGCCTCTGCGTCCATGCTGTCGCGTTTCTCTGTCAATGCTGTCGCGTCTCTCCGTCCATGCTGTCGTGTCTCTCCGTCCATGGTGTCGCGTCTCTCCGTCCCTGCTGTCATGTCTCTCCGTCCCTGCTGTCGCGTCTCCCAGTCCCTATTGTCGCGTCTCTCCGTCCACGCTGTCGCGTCTCTGCGTCTCTGCTATCGCGTCTCTCCACCCATGCTGTCACGTCTCTCCATCCCCACTGTCTCGTCTCTCCGTCCCTGCTCTCGCTTCTCTCCATCCATGCTCTCGTGTCTCTGGGTCCATGCTGTCGCGTCTCTTAGTCCATGCTGTCACGTCTCTTTGTCCCTGCTGTCGCGTCTCTCCATCCCTGCTGCCACGTCTCTCCATCCATGCAGTCGCGTCTCTCCGTCCCTGCTGTGGAGTCTCTCTGTCCCTGCTGTCGCGTCTCTTAGTCCATGCTGTCGCGTCCCTCCGTCCATGCTGTCCCGTCTCTCTTTCCATGCCTTCGCGTCTCTCTATCCATGCTGTCGCGTCTCTCCATCCATGCTCTCTCGTCTCTCCGTCCCTGCTGTAGCGCCCTTCTGTCCATGCTGTCTCGTCTCTCCGTCCATGCTGTCGCGCCTCTCCTTCCATGCTGTCGCGTCTCTCCGTCCATGCTATTGTGTTACTCCCTCCATGCTGTCGGGTCTCTCTGTCCCTGCTGTCACGTCTCTCCATCCCTACTGTCGCGTCTCTCAGTCCCTGTTGTCGCGTCTCTTCGTCCACGCTGTCGCGTCTCTGCGTCCCTGGTGTCGCGTCTCTCCGTCCCTACTGTCAGATCTCTCCGTCCATGCTGTCGCGTCTCTCCGTCCATGCTGTCGCGTCTCTCCGTCAATGCTGTCGCGTCTCTCCGTCCATGCTGTCGCGTCTCTCCGTCCATGCTGTCGCGTCTCTCCGTCCATGCTGTCGTGTTACTCCCTCCATGCTGTCGGGTCTCTCTGTCCGTGCTGTCACGTCTCTCCATCCCTGCTTTCGCGTCTCTCAGTCCCTGTTGTCGCGTCTCTCCGTCCACGCTGTCGCGTCTCTCCGTCCCTGGTGTCACGTCTCTCCGTCCCTACTGTCAGATCTCTCCGTCCATGCTGTCGCGTCTCTCCGTCCATGCTGTCGCGTCTCTCCGTCAATGTTGTCGCGTCTCTCCGTCCATGTTGTCGCGTCTCTCCGTCCATGCTGTCGCGTCTCTCCGTCCATGCTGTCGTGTTACTCCCTCCATGCTGTTGGGTCCCTCTGTCCCTGCTGTCACGTCTCTCCGTCCCTGCTGTCGCGTCTCTCAGTCCCTGTTGTCGCGTCTCTCCGTCCACGCTGTCGCGTCTCTACGTCCCTGGTGTCGCGTCTCTCCGTCCCTACTTTCAGATCTCTCCGTCCATGCTGTCTCGTCTCTCCGTCCCTGCTGTTGCGTCTCTCCGTCCATGCTGTCGCGTCTCTCCATCCATGCTGTTGCGTCGCTCCGTCCCTGCTGTCGCGTCTCTCCGTCCGTGCTGTTGCGTCTCTCCGTCCCTGCTGTTGCGTCTCTTCGTCTCTGCTGTCGCGTCTCTCCGTCCATGTTGTCGCGTCTCTCCGTCCATGTTGTCGCGTCTCTTTGTCCATGCTGTCGCGTCTCTCCATCCATGCTGTCGCGTCTCTCCATTCCCGCTGTCGCGTCTCTCCGTCCATGTTGTCGTGTATCTGGGTCTATGCTGTCGCGTCTCTTCGTCCATGCTGTCGCGTATCTCTGTCCCTGCTGTCGCGTCTCTTTGTCCCTGCTATCGTGTCTCCCAGTCCCTGCTAACGAGTCTCTTGGTCCATGCTGTCGTGTCTCTCCGTCCATGCTGTCGCGTCTCTCCGTCCATGCTGTCGCGTCTCTCCATCCATGCTCTCCCGTCTCTCCGTCCCTACTGTAGCGCCCTTCTGTCGGTGCTGTCTCGTCTCTCCATCCATACTGTCACGCCTCTTCTTCCATGCTGTCGCGCCTCTGCATTCATGTTGTCGTGCTCTCCGTCCATGCTTTCGCGTTTCTCCGTCCATGCTGTCGCGTCTCTCTGTCCATGCTGTCGCGTTACTCCCTCCATGCTGTCGCGTCTGTCCGTCCCTGCTGTCACGTCTCTCCGTCCCTACTGCGCGTCTATCAGTCCCTGTTTTCTCGTCTTTCCGTCCACGCTATCGCGTCTCTCCGTCCCTGGTGTCGCGTTTCTCCGTCCCTACTGTCACGTCTCTCCGACCCTGCGTCGCATCTCTCCGCCCATGCTGTCGCGTCTCTCCGTCCATGCTATCGCGTCTCTCCGTCCATACTCTCGCGACTCTCCGTCCCTGCTGTCGCGTCTCTCCGTGCATGCTGTCGCGTCTCTCCGTCGATGCTGTCGCGTCTCTCCATCCATGCTGTCGTGTCTCTTTGTCCATGCTGTCGCGTCTCTCCGTCCATGCTGCCGCGTCTCTCAGTCCATTCTATCTCGTGACTCTGTCCATGCTGTCGCATCTCTCCGTCCATGTTGGCGCGTCTCTCCATCCATTCTATCGCGTCTCTCCGTCCCTGCTGTCGCGTCTCTCCGTCCAAGCTCTCGCGTCTCTCTGTCCAAGCTGTCGCGTCTCTCCGTCCATGCTATCGCGTCTTCCTACTGTCGCGTCTCTCCGTCCCTGCTGTTGGGTCTCTCCATCCTTGCTGTTGGGTCTCTCCGTCCGTGGTGTCGCTTCTCTCCGTCCGTGCCGTCGCGTCTCTCCGTCCATGCTGTCGCGTCTCTCCCTCCCTACTGTGGCGTCTCTCTGTCCCTACTGTTGCGTCTCTCCGTCCATGCTGTCGCGTCTCTCCGTCCATGCTGTCGCGTCTCACTGTCCATGCTGTCGCCTCTCCCTGCTGTCGCGTCTCTCCGTCCCTGCTGTCGGGTGTCTCTGTCCTTGCTGTCGCGTCTCTCCGTCCCTGTTGTCGCGCCTCTCCATTCATGTTTTCGCGTCTCTCCGCCCATGCCGTCTCGTCTCTCTGTCCATTCTGTCGCGTCTCTCCGTCCCTGCCATCGCGTCTCTCCGTCCATGCTGTTGCGTCTCTCCGTCCCTGTCGTCGCGTTTCTCCGTCCCTGTTGTCGCGTCTCTCTGTCCATGCTGTCGCGTCTCTCCGTCCATGCTGTCGTGTGTCTCCGTCCATGATGTCGCGTATCTCCGTCCGTGCTGTCGCGTCTCTCCGTCCATGCTGTCGTGTCTCTCCGTCCATGCTGTTGCATCTCTCCATCCATGGTGTCGTGTCTCTCTGTCCCTGCTGTCGCGTCTGTCCGTCCCTCCTGTCGCGTCTCTCCGTCCATGCTGTCGCGTCTCTCTGTCCATGCTGTCGCGTCTTTTCGTCCCTTCTATCTAGTCTATATGTCCATGCTGTCGCGTCTCTCCGTCCATGTTGTCGCGTCTCTCCGTCCCTGCTATCGCATCTCTCCGTCCCTGCTGTCGCGTCTCTCCGTCCCTGCTGTCGCGTCTCTCCGTCCCTGCTGTCGCGTCTCTCCGTCCATGCTGTCGCGTCTCTCCGTTCATGCTGTCTCGTCTCTCCGTCCATGCTGTCGCGTCTCTCCGTCCCTTCTTTCGCGTCTCTCCGTCACTGTTGTCGTGTGTCTCGTCCATGCCATCGCGTCTCTCCATCCATGCTATCACGTCTCTCCCTCCCTGCTGTCGCGTCTCTCTATCCCTATTGTCGCGTCTCTCCGTCCATGCTGTCGCGTCTCTCCGTCCCTGCTGTTGCATCTCTCCGCCCCTGCTGTCGCGTCTCTCTGTCTATGCTATCGTGTCTCTCTGTCCCTGCTGCCGCGTCTCTCCATCGCTGCTATCGCGCCATGATGTCGCTCCATCGCGTTCCACTATTGATCTGGGCCTGTCTCGTGCCTATCCCTCGGAGCGGGAACAACTGCGCTCTTCTCCTGCTTTCACGTCACTCTGTCGATGCTCCTGCGTCACTTCGTCCCTCGGGATGAGTTATTAGCGTTTTGCAATGCTTAGTCGGTCGTTGCGGGATCTGCGTCAGTATCGCTATCCTTCCTCATGGCGCGCAGTTTCGTCTAGGCTTGGCTATGCGCGCGAGAAACCTCGTATGCTGGCTAGTTTTTAGTCACTAGTTGGTCTCGCTTGGGTCCCAATTTACTTTCCCTTGGCCGTTTGAGCTGAGAGAGAGCCGGGGATTGGGCTGGGGATTGGGCTGCTTGGGCGAAGGTGTTTGCCTGCCTTTCGACCAATCACGAGCCCCCTTTTACAGCCACCACGTCATTGTTCAGTTTCATCCGGGTGCATGGGGTTACCCACTTTTTTGCTCCGCGATATTGCTAGCAAAAAAACTCGCCCCTTGCAACTTGGGATCTGGGCTTTAAATGAGCTGGAAACCCTGCAGCGGTGCGAATACAATGAAGCAGCCAAGGTTTTTGCTGGGGGTGTTTGTACCAGGGGTGTGCGGCCCTTGAAATCGAGGCAGTGGGCGAGCCCTTGATTGTAACCAGTCAATTTGACGAAACAATCATGCTAGCTTAGCTTACAGCAAGTGCAACTTATAAAACAACTAGAAAAATATGTACACACGCATACACACCAACAACTAAAGAAAGTAAGCATCAGACAAGAAAATGCTCTGAGAGAGCAGCCCCCCCACACATGGCTTCAAAAAGCGCATCTGGCCGCAGATCACCATACGTCAAGACGCCAGGCTCTAATCCCTTGGGGCTGCTAAGGTTGCCGTTTAGCTGCTGCTGCTGCTGCTGCTGCTGCCGCAGCGTGCAAATATCAGCAGAAAGCCAGCTTTCCTCGCAGCCTGCTTTCACGGGCTTGCTGAGGTTGAGGTGTAACTCAGAAGCAGGCCAGAATTGCTTGCCACCTTGGCTACTGCTGAAATTCAATCCGTCATAGCATTGAGCTGCACAGTGGCTGCTCATGCCCTCATCCATGCCCTCATCCATGCCCTCATCCATGCCCTTATCCATGCGCTTGCCGATGCGCTTGTCCATGCGCTTGTCAATGCCATCCCCTCTGCCTGCGTTCACATTCCACCTGGCTTCCTTCCTCACACCTGTTGCAGTGATTCCCGTTTTCCCACCGCCAGCAGCTCCAAACGCAAGCAGTGGGACTTGTCCAGGTGTATTTTGAGTCGACACAATTAATTCCTTGCTCACGCCTCTTGCGGTGGCTCCACCCTCACCACCAGCAGCAGCTCCAAGCGCAAGCGGTGGGACTTGTGTGGGGAAGGACCAGTAGCTTGGGGAATGTGGCGCGTTCGTTTGCAGGGAGGGGAGTGCAGGAAGAGGAGTCACCGCTTCCCATAGTTGAAAAAGGTGACCATTGATGTGAGACCCACAGGCTGCTGTAACACAGCAGCCTGGCACTCTTGCTGCTGGTCCTGCTGCTGCTGGTGCTTGATCTGGTGCTGCTGCTGCTGCCGCTGCTGCTGGTGCTGCTTCTGGTGCTGCTGCTGGTGCTGCCGCTGGTGGTGGTGGTAGTGCTTCTGCTGCTGCTGCTGCTGCTGCTGCTGCTGCTGCTGCTGCTGCTGCTGCTGCTGCTGCTGCTGCTGCTGCTGCTGCTGCTGCTGCTGCTGCTGCTAATGCTGCTGCTGCTGCTGCTGCTGCTGCTGCTGCTCCTGTTGTTGGTTGTGAAGACAAGGACGTGACTTCATGCTGAAACACCGAAATTGGCATGGGTGGTGGCAACGCTACGAGCTGCATAGAAGAGAGACGGGCATTAACCTCCGTTGACTGGCATAGGATGCTTCCAGCTTGCGCAAGTGGGCTGAGTCGGGATGAATGTTGGCTTCCAGCTTTTGCAAGTGGTCTGATTTGATGACGAACGGGAGATGCATGTGGGGATGTAGGTGGGGATGCATGTTGGCATGAGGCACGAAGGAAGTCGCTGAGCTGAGAGCCATGCGCCTCTGCTTCTCCAGCCTTTCCTGGGATGTACCCCCACATACGAAGGGGTAATTGCTCCAAACGTCCAGCCTTTCTTGGGATGTACCCCAACATATGAGGGGGCAGAGAGTGGGGTGCATGAGGCGCATTTCGAGCGCCACACGCCTTTGATGAGTTTGGTAGCTCGTATGGTGGAAAGAGGCGCGACGGGAGGGAGAGTGACGATGGGAGGACGTGTGGTCGGTGGGAGTGTGGTGTGCGGGAGTGTGGGAAAGAGTGTGATGGCACGAGGCACGATGAGAGGGAGTGAGACGTCACGAGGAATGGAGGCATGCCGCTCTGAGGCAGCCGGCATGGCGCCCCCACTGCCTGCATGCCACCACTGATGATGACGTCACTCGTTATGATGCCACTCGCGTCGCTGTTATGCATTCCACCATTCACCTCATCACGATGCATGCCGTTCTGTGGCAGCAGGCATGGTAGCCCAACAGGCTGCATGCCACCACATGCGATGGTGTCACTCAAGTCACCATAGTGCATGTGATCATTGGCCTCCACACGGTGTGCGCCGCCCGGCGTCTCACCACAGTGATCTGAAGGAAATGTTTCAGCTTCAACAAAGTCCGCCCTAGTCAAAGTGATGTGTGTATTCGTGCATTCTGCCTGCCATGGATGAAGAAAACGAGCAGAAATCGAAAGGGGGTAGAACAGTTTTGAGATGTCTCCAGGTTAGAGCACGGTGGGGAGATGAGCTGAGTGGGAAAAATAAATATCCACCCAACATTGCAACAAGCAGAGGGTGAGCAAGGGGGTGAGTGAGGGGTGAGTGGGGGTGAATGAGGGGGTGAGTGAGGGGGTGAGTGAGGGGGTGAGTGAGGGGGTGAGTGAGGGGGTGAGTGAGGGGGTGAGTGAGGGGGTGAGTGAGGGGGTGAGGAACGCAGTCGGATGATAACATCGGTAAGCAGTAGCGCCAATAATCACCTGCGTAGCTGGTTCAGACGGAAAGCTTTGCCTTTGGTGTTTGTAGAATTTCCTGCATTGATGCACGGGAAAATAAGCACAGGCAACGAGGGCTGCCAGTTAGGCTCAGCACAATAGATCCTTCGAAGCACAAAGAAAAACTTGAATTGCGCTTACCTTTTCAACACGATGAATCGGTTGCAGCATGCCTTGCTGTCTCGCCCTGGCAGCAGCCCCCCCCTGGCAATGGCCCGCCACTGCCTCGTGCCGTGCGTTGCCACATGGAGCAGCAAAGTGCGATCTTCCTGAAAGGGGTATTCAGAGCATTGGGATCACACAGCATGGAGTTGAGAGAGGGAACATAAAGCCACTCCCATGTGCCGTGCGCTGCCACGTGGAGCAGTAGGGTGCGATCCTCGTGGAAGGGGAATTACGGAGGGGAGAGGCGGAAGCACGAGCTCTTGAGCCGCGAGCAGCAGCCGATTCTGGTTCTCCTGGCATGGGAACTGCAGAATGAGCACGTGGGAAGTTTGCTTCAGGAAAGCCAAAATGCGCCGCCACGGGCAGTTGAAGGGTGCGGTCCTCCTGAGGGCGTTGACAGGCGTTGGCAGGCATTGACAGGTGTTGACAGGCGTTGACAGGGCGTTGACAGGGCGTTGACATGGCGTTGACATGGCATTGACATGGAGTTTACAGGGCGTTGAGTTGACAAGAGGGGGTGAATGGGAAGATGAAAGGAAGATATTGACCCGCCCTGCCATGGCAATGGCTCGCCACTGTTGTGTGCCATGCGCTGCATGGGATGGGTATTGAGTGAAACAAGAAGAGAAGGAATCAGAGAGGGAGGGAACAAAGCCTCGTGTGCCACCACGTGCATTAGCAAGGTACTGCCCTCCTCAGATTGGATACGGGGTAGAGACATAAGAGAAGGAATCAGAGACGGATGGAACAAAGCCACTGCCTGGTGGTGCCTGGTGGTGCCGGGTGCCACTACATTGAAGCAGCAAGATACAGTCGTCCTGAGATCAAGGGGGATGGCGAAGAGCGCTGAGATTCGGGGAATATTGGGATCAAGTTGAGAGGGGGTAACTTTTGAGGCGACACAAAAGACATTGCGGAGCTACGCAGGATGAAGTTGGAGGTCTTATGCTGTGCTCCACATGCAGCAAGAACCCGAGGGAGAAGACGCAAGGAGAGAGCGGGGGAAAGGGACTGAATAGAGAAAGAAACAAGGGGAGAATGAAGCGAAGGTGAAAAACAGGAAGGGGAGATAGAAGAAGGGGGGAAAGAAGCAAGACGGGACTTTTGAAAGGGAAGAAATAAGCAAGGGGATAGCGCAACAGGCGTCCCTACCTCCGCAGTCCAGAGGTGGCCCATGTGTCTGGATTTCGCCACCATTCTCGGAATCCAAGCGAGTCGATTCTTGAGGCGGGGCTTCGAAAATCGTCGCAATCACATCCGCATAGACTTGACACACAAATTTCTGGAGTGACTTGACGCCTCCGGGAGGTAGTGATTCTTCTCTTCCGATTCTCTGGCTCGGAGTTGTCTTAGAAGTCTCGATCAAACATCACCTCGTGGGTGGGAAGTTTGCTCGGGGGGCGCGATCTTTTACTTGTAGCTAACAGCAGCTTGTGCCGGGATGGGAGTGCTTAACAGAGGAGCGAGCGAGGGTGATGGGCTGAGTAGCCTACTCGTTATGGGTAGTAGCCTACTACGAGTAGTAGTAGCAGTAACAGTACAAGCACGGGGCTCGGGAACTGGATTTTGGAACCACCGCATGTGGCTGTTCAGTGTGGCCTTGAAGGCTTGTACACCTTCCTGCTTGAGGCTTCTGGCAAGCACTGCTTGGCAAGTTGGCATGGCCGAAAACCACTCTCAATGCATGCACAACGTCAACTTGATGGAAAAATGAGAGCCCAAAACTGACCCACAACTTGAACTTGACGCCCTGAACAGTCATTCAGGCACCTTTCAGGATTGCCTGTCAGCCCAGCAGCCCAGGTGACCAGCAGATTACGAGTCTGACCAAACCTTCGGAAGGCCTGCCAGCTTGAATTTTCAACCTGAGCTGCTTCAGTTGGTACTGCACGTGCTACTACAAAAAAATATGGCCTATAGTCGGTCTTTATACCAAGGCTACTCAGTGACTGACGTACCTACTCTGTACCTTGGTGTGTAGCCTGTACTTTCTGCTCCCAAATTTTGGGATAGTGCTTCTAGTAGTGCTGCTGACACATCGGCCAGATACATGAGAATCCTCCTTGCTTGAAGCAGAGTTTCAACTTGTAACCTGGCACTCCCTGCCAATGACACCGGCGGCGTCACGTGACGGGATGGTGCAGTGCATGTGGACCCTCCAGGTAGAAAACCTCTCCTTCCCTTCGGAACCCGAGGAGCAAGCGAGCTGGGGAGAATTTCAGCGCAATCCGCAACTTGAAGCTGAGGTATCTGGATGTCGTCGTCACACATTAGCCAGATGACTTGGCCTGAACCACGGTGGCTCATAGGCACTTAGGCCGCTGTAAGGCCGGTGAGAGTGTCTGGACTCTGGACCCCCTTTTTCATGAGTCATGGCATCTGCTTTGATCGGGCCAGTGCGCAACTTTGAAGGAACGGCGACTGATGCACACGGTAGTAGTAGGCACAGTGGCACAGTGAAGGAACTTTGGTGGAATTGTCTCCGAGTCAACTAGGGTAGAACCCCAGCAGGGGCTATTTGGCTCAATAATGGCGGGATGTTAGAATGACATCATGTGACGTCCATAATGGGATACTAAGGGGGTGGATCTGATTTCATTCCGAGCAACGAACCATCGGGGAAGCGGCTTACTGCAGAGTGCACGCACGGGCGATGTTCACAAACAATCAACTTTCCCCACGTGCCGCACGTGTCGTGACCACAACAACCACCTTATCCGTAGCCAATGGAATGGGCGGACAGAAATTATTCGCGATGGGATGGGAACGACTTGCTGCTGAGCTGGTGACTCTTAAAATCAACGAAACCAAACTAGCTCATCAACTTGACATCCGGCATCAACCTTCCCCAGTGTGCTTACAACGAGGGATGGCGACGACGAGCTCGCATAGATGATGTCGATGGTTGAAGACTGCCTCTTCTTCGCCAGGCTCGCGAGGTTCGCTCAAACGTGTAACCAGATTCCGCAACTGCGGCGAACGGGAAAGCTAGTACCGTATTCCCCAAATATACGCGCCCAGGTGCGTTTCGGGATTGTAGTCCAAATTTGGGGGCTACGTTTATTTGGATTTTTTTGGGTTGCGTAGCAACCCTATATATTCGGTTTCACATTTCGGAGCATTGATATTGTAAGGAAATTTCCATTCCTTGCCGAGCGGTACTGCTATCGCGTACGCTCGAACACATCCGAAGCCTCGGGACTGTTCCTCTGACAGAACCGCCTTGGCTTCTCCAGACCTTCCAGTTCGACCTTCGGGAGTTCTCCGGGCCTCGCTTCGTCACTTCGAGACCCTTCGATCTCTTTCCCGAACCTTACCATCGCATGGTTGGACTAGCTCTGGTGTTCCTATATCTTGGCTTGCCATTCCCTGTATCGTCATTCAGTGATTGAACACTTCGTTATTCATTTCCGCGCTACTCTGCTTGTTCCTTCATAACACATGGTATTCAGAACCACATTCATCGCTCACCCGTTTTCGTGAGTTGATTTTTTTTTGGGGGGGGGGGGGGGGGGGGGGGTAAGTCCCTTACGTAAGCTGCAAAGCGGTTGCTCGCGAATTAGACTGATTAATTCGCCCAACTACGATAGCGTTTGCGCTTATCTGAGTACAGGCACACTACGGAATTCCCCCTGCCCCGGCGGAGCATTCGCCAAATGGACCAAGCTCAGTTCAACGAGCTTCGGGAGCAGTTCAACACCATGAACACACGCATGGCTACAGTACTGGAGGACAACGAGCGACTTCGTGCAGAAGTTGCCGAGTTACGCCAAGCGCGGGAGGATTCGCGTCAGAAAACTGCCGCCCAAGAGGAGGTCGCAAGCACCGGACGTTTCAAAACCGTTTTGGACGAAATCGCACGTGAGGTGTCACAGGAGCGCAAGGACAGTGAAGCCGCCGCAGCAGCTGACGTGGCAGCACGAGCAGCAGCCGAAGCAGCAGTAGCAGCGACAGCAGCAGCCGCTCGGTCAGAAGCAGCCGCTACTGTAGCCGCACCGGCGTTTATGCCGATCGTGACGACAGCGACGATCAAACTGACAATGCCGCCCCCGTTCAACCCCACAGATAAAAATACTACTGTTACGGGCTGGTTATTTTCGGCGGAACTTTATTTTAATGCTGCTGGGATCATCACTGACGATTTAAAAATTCGGCTGGCTGTATCACTACTGCGGGGACCTGCGCTAGATTGGTGGCGATATACTCTACAGGAGGGGGAGTTTTCGGCAGGCGACACACAGGGGTTTTTCGGAAACTTTGGGTCTGCTGCCCAAGGGTCAACCGCGATTTTTGGATCGACCAAGATCCGCATGTGGAAGGCGTGGGGTACAGCTCTGCGTGAACGTTTCGAGCCAATATCCGCCTCGGACAACGCATGCACGAAGCTGGACAACTGGCGCCAGTGGAGTTTTGTCCAGGATTACGCTTCGGTCTTTATGGCGTTATGCGATCAAATCACCGACATGCATGACTCCGAGAAGAAAGCTCGATTCGTTTGGGGCTTGAAGCAGGACATTAAATGCGAGGTCCGACTGCGACTACCGGCGACGTTCACGAAGCAGTCCGGATCGCAGACAACTTCGACGCACATCGGACGTATGCGAGAGCGGGTTCCCGGGAGGGGAATCGTTTTCGTAGCCAGGATCCACGGCCCACGATTCACGGCGTAGTGGCAAGGGAGCACATGGAAGGTTTTCGCTAGGGACAATGTTTCAACTGCCACCAGCCGGGTCACCAATCTCACGATTGCCCCCGAAAGAAGCAGATAAAGAAGAACGACGAAGGCAGGTCGGGAAACGCCAATCGTCAGTAGCGGTCGAGCCCCCTACTGACCCTGCCTCATCGCCCTAAAAACACCATCCCCACAGAGTAGTGGTTCCGATACACGTTATCAACCGCTCTCGGTTGAATAAGGGGGATGACCCAGTGGACCACCCTGTGCTGGCGGAAGGACGACTCCACGGAAGAAAAATAAAAATATTCATCGACGGAGGTGCGAGTCATAGCCTGATAAATCGAGAAACAGCACGACGACTACACTTGTTGCTGGAGAGGTGTCTGCCCAAAATCGACGCGCGATTGGTGGATGGCACCCCACTGGCGATACGCGACAAAGAACATGTCGTTCGAATGAAGTGCGGCGAAGACTTCGGTTTCAGCGTGCCGATGCTGGCGACAACACTCGACGGCTACGATGTGCTATTGGGACGCGATTGGCTGCTAAGATTCAACCCGCAGATCGATTGGACGACAGGCGAGTGCATAGTGAAGTGCGAAAAAGGCTGGCGAAAATTACCTACGTGGCCGGAAGTAGAGATAACCTCGACACGAGTCAACCCGGTGTGCCTCAATCGAGCGGTCAAGAATAGAGCAGATTTATACGCCGTCCATCTAACTGAATCGACGGAATAGAACGCGGCGACCGACATCAACAAACTCTGCGCTTCGGTCCCGGATGACTTGGCGAAAATCATTCAGGAATATCCTGAGATTTTCCCGGACGATTTGCCAAGTGGACTGCCACCCGAACGACCCTAGGACCACAAGATCGAGCTGGAGCCCGGCGCGCAGCCTACTGTACGCACGCAATGGTGCCTGACTCAGCTGGAGCTACACAAATTGTGAAACCAGCTGGACTACCTGCTGGCAAAGGGGTTTATTCGGCCGAGCACATCTCTGTTCGCAGCACCGATCCTGTTCACCGAGCCCTTAATCGGGTAACGATAAAATCACGCTACCCAATACCACGCACGGACGAACTGATCGACAACCTTCACGGAGCTCGCTATTTTTCGAAGATAGATCTTCGCGGCGGTTACCATCAAATTTGGGTGTTCGCGGACGACTGTCACAAGACTGCGTTCCGTACTCGCTACGGAAGTTACGAATACACGGTGATGCCGTTTGGATTAACGAACGCCCCCTCGATGTTCCAACTCACCATGAACGGGGTGTTCCGCGATCTACTCGACAAATGTGTGATCATTTACCTCGATGACATCCTGATCTACAGCAAGACCCGAGAGCAACATTTAAAGGACCTGGAAGCGGTTTTTCTTCGGCTGCAGCAGCATCGTCTCATCTCCAAGGGCTCCAAGTGCGAGTTTTGAAAACAAGAACTGGAGTTCCTGGGGCACGTGATCTCCACGGAGGGGATTCAAATAGACCCGAAAAACCTACGGGCTATTCAGGAGTGGAATCCGCCAACAAATCTGCAGCAGCTGCAATCATTTTTGGGTTTTGTGAATTACGTGCGGCGATTTATACCCTAAATAGCGGGGTTAACTGGACCTCTAACCGACCTATTGCAGAAGGGGACTTTTTACTAGTGGGGGGAGAAGCAGCAAGCTGCGTTCGAGGCATTAAAAACTCTTTTAATGTCACCACCGGTACTTCGCATCGCTGACCCGGAACGGCCCTTCGAAGTCATCACCGACGCAACTGACATCGTCATCAGAGCAGTGCTCATGCAAGATTTTGGCAATGGTCTTCAACCAATCGCATACGAGTCTCGGAAAATGCAATCTGCTGAGCGCAACTACCCGGTACACGACAAGGAGATGCTGGCGATTGTCCACGCGTTCAAAATCTGGAGGTGCTACCTGACTGGAGCAGACGTGACGCTGCGAACCGATCACAAATCTCTACAGTACCTGAGGGCGCAGCCGAATCTCAACCCGCGGCAGATACGCTGGCTGGACTATCTAGAGTCCAACTTCACGTACAAGATCATGTATAAAAAGGGCGCCAACAATATTGCCGAAGCCCTCTCCAGACCATCTGCCCAACTCGCAGCAGTACTAGTCACCCAGAGCAACCCGCTACTAAGTGGACTATTTACCCACAGGTATTCGACTGACCCTTTCTTCGTAAATGACGGCCATCTCCCAATCACTACATGGAAAGGCGTCTATTATTTATGAAGTGGGACAGATCGAATTTGGGTCCCAAGTTATCGTCTTCGTCGCGAATGACTAATTCAAGAAGTCCACGATTCGAATTTATCAGGACATTTCGGGGTTGATAAAACTTTGAAGACGTTGCAGCGGTTTGATTGCTGGCCAGATATGGTGACGGACGTGCAGTGTTACGTGGCTGCTTGCGTGATCTGCCAGCGAATCAAGTCATCACACCAGCGACCTACAGGACTGTTGCAGCCCCTCGAGCCACCTCAACGCCCATGGCAACACGTGACGATGGATTTCGTTACAGGTCTACTGGCCGGACCCTGCAGAAACGACGTAGTTCTGGTTGTCGTCGACCGATTGACGAAAATCGCGCATTTCACACCATGTCGTACAACCATCACAGCCGAAGAAACTGCGCGCCTGTTCATCTCGACTGTTGTTCGCCTACACGGGATACCAGCAGCAATCATTAGCGAT